AGTTACAGCCACATAGTGAAGTTTAAATATGTTGTAATTATGAAAAGAATATACACAAATTTCAGGATAAGGAGAAATTCTGGGAAGGCAGTGGGATAGGGCATTGGCTATATTTATCTATTTCTACAATGAATTTCTGAAGAAAATATGACAAAAGGTTAACATTTGTTACATCTGGGTGTTCCCAAGCATGTGCATAATATATGGCTCCTTGCAACTGAAAAAATTTTATTTCAAATATGTTATAACTTAAAAATAAACACTTTAAAAAGGAAAAAAGAAAGGCAGCATATCTCTTCCACTTACTGTGGCACTTTATTCCACTGTCTGGCTCCTAATTGCTGCCCTGAGGGATGTGATTACTTTAATGGCTAAACAATTTGCACTAAAGAGGAGACAAAGAGTATATTCCCACAGCTGGTAAAAATCTAATGTTTAAGTACCAAGACCTTAAATACATTAAAAAAAAATAGCAACAAAATTTGTATAAGAACACCTAACAAAGAATACACAGTGAAATGTAGGGAAGAATGTAACTCTGCTTCAGTTCAGTTCAGTTCAGTCGCTCAGTCCTGTCTGACTCTCTGTGACCTCATGGACTGCAGCACGCCAGGCCTTTCTGTCCATCACCAACCCCTGGAGCTTGCTCAAACTCATGTCCACCAAGTCGGTGATGCCATCCAACCATCTCATCCCCTGCCGTCCCCTTCTCCTCCTGCCTTCAATCTTTCCCAGCATCAGGCTCTTTTCCAATGAGTCAGTTCTTCACATCAGGTGGCCAAAGTATTGGAGCTTCAGCTTCAACATCATTCCTTCCAATGGATATTCAGAACTGATTTCCTTTAGGATGGACTGGTTGGACCTCCTTGCCGTCCAAGGGATGCTCAAGAGTCTTCTCTGGCACCACAGTTCAAAAACATCAATTCTTTGGCACTCAGCTTTCTTTATAGTGCAACTCTCACATCCATACATGACTACTGGAAAAACCATAGCCTTGACTAGATGGACCTTTGTTGGCAAAGTAATGTCTCTGCTTTTTAATCCGCTGTCTAGTTTGGTCATAGCTTTTCTTCCAAGGAGCAAGCATCTGTTAACTTCATGGCTGCAGTCACCATCTGCAGTGATTTTGGAGCCCCAAATAATAAAGTCTGTCACTGTTTTCACTGTTTCCCCATCTATTTGCCATGAAGTGATGGGACCAGATGCCATGATCTTAGTTTTCTGAATGTTGAGTTTTAAGCCAACTTTTTCACTCTCCTCTTTCACTTTCATCAAGAGGCTCTTTCGTTCTTTTTTGCTTTCTGCCATAAGGGTGGTGTCATCTGCATATCTGAGGTTATTGATATTTCTCTTGGCAATCTTGATTCCAGCTTGTGCTTCATCCAGTCCACCTTTTTGCATGATGCACTCTGCATATAAGTTGAATAAGCAGGGTGACAATATACAGCCTTGACGTACTCCTTTCCCAATTTGGAACCATCTTTTTCTCCATGTCAAGTTCTAACTGTTGCTTCTTGACCTGCATACACATTTCTCAGGAGGCAGGTAAGGTAGACTGGTATTCCCATCTCTTGAAAAATTTTCCACAGTTTGTTGTGATCCACACAGTTAAAGGCTTTGGCATAGTCAATAAAGCAGAAGTAGATGTTTTTCTGGAACTCTCTTAGTTTTTCGATGATCCAGTGGCTGTTGGCAATTTGATGTCTGGTTCCTCTGCTTTTGTAAATTTAGCTTGAACATCTTGAAGTTCATGGTTCATGTACTGTTGAAACCTGACTTGGAGAATTTTGAGCATTACTTTAGTAGTGTATGAGATGAGTGCAATTGTGCGGTAGTCTGAGCATTCTTTGGCATTGCCTTTCTTTGGGATTGGAATGAAAACTGACCTTTTCCAGTCCTGTGGCCACTGCTGAGTTTTCCAAATTTGCTGGCATATTGAGTGCAGCACTTTCACAGCATCATCTTTTAGGATTTGAAATAGCTCAACTGGAATTCTATCACCTTCACTAGCTTTGTTGATAGTGATGCTTCCTAAGGCCCACTTGACTTCCCATTCCAGGATGTCTGGCTCTAGGTGAGTGATCATACCATCATGATTATCTGGGTTGTGAAGATCTTTTTTTATATAGTTCTTCTGTGTATTCTTGCCACCTCTTCTTAATATCTTCTGCTTCTGGTAGGGCCATACCATTTCCACTCTACTTACAACGCTTAATATTAAACAATTTCCAACAACAATTCACTCAGAAACATATAGTGATTATGCTCTCTGATATATTAAGTGGACGATCTAATGGTTGTTGCCATAGTAACCTCTACTTTAATTGTATTTAACAAAAGAGTAGAAATTATGGAGAAAATTGCTCTATTTCTTAGATCCTCTGGGTTGAAGAAGGCAAAGAGTCATGGGAGATACAGTAGTGTTTCAGGTTGCAGAGAAAGTGCTCTTTCAGTGATAATCTAGCTGGTTGAAAGAGTGAATACATACCTGAAAGGTAAACATTTACTCATGACTGAAAAAGTGACAGACCTCAAGGTTCTGAGTCTGTTCACTAACACATAGTCAAAGAAATCCACGTGGGTGCAAGACATTGAATCTGTACATGGGGTGGGATGATTTATTTATAGAGAATATGAAGTGGCCTATAGTCCAGATGGGCTTCCCTGGTGGCTCAGTGGTAAAGAATACGCCTGCCAATGTGGGAGACATGGGTTTGATCCTTGGGTCGGGAAGATCCCCTGGAGGAGGAATTGGCAACCTACTCCAGTATTCTTGCCTGGAGAATCCCATGGACAGAGGAGCCTGGTGGGCTACATTCCATGGGGTTTCAAGAGTTGGACATGACTTAGAGACTAGACAACAATAGTCCAGATACAATTTTTCCACTTAATATTTATCTTTTGTCTTCCATATTGTTATTTTACTTAGTGGGAATAGACAGTATTGTTGAAATGAGAATATAAAGCATCACTTACCTGCTTTATTTACTGGGGGCTCTATTTTACGACCATGATTTAGCAGTTTAGACAGTAAGAAATAAAAACTGAAACCTCACCTCCTGTGTAAGTCAGCTGTGAGCATTTGGCATTGTCCCTGTATACCCTCCCCTCCTTCACTCCCCTCCAAATATCTCTACTGGTCTTAGGTCAAAGTGAAGGTTTGCCTCAAGTACAGGCTACCAGGATGGTCGGCAGCTTCCCTATCAGTCCTACAGTTACAGCTAATGTTTAAGGCTATTTTTTTAAAATCAAATTCATATTTTCTTTCCTCCATTACATAATAGTCATGTATTTCACTATAACCCTTAATTTTCTTCTGTTTTATCTTTTTTTGGTTTAGTTCTTGTCTACTTCACATTTCTTGTTCTTCCCCTGCTCGCTGAAAAATTGCTTTTGAACTGTGGTGCTAGAGAAGACTCTTAAGAGTCCCTTGCATAGTAAGGAAATCAAACCAGTCAAACCTAAGGGAAATCAACCCTGAATACACTTTGGAAGGGCAGATGGTGAAGCTGAATCTCCAATACTTTGGCCACCTGATGTGAAGAGCCCACTCACTAGAGAAGACTTTGATGCTGGGAAAGATTGAGGGGAGGGAGGTGACAGAAGATGAGATGGTTGGATGGTATCATCAACTCAATGCACATGAGTTTGAGCAAACTCTGGGAGATAGTGAAGGACAGGGAAACCTGGCGTGTTGCAGTCCATGGGGTCACAGAGAGTCAGACATGAGTGAGTGACTGAACAATCACCTTTAGCATGATATCAGCACAACTCAAGGATGTTCCTGAACCCGAATTCAATGCAGTGGGATGTTTTCCATCCTCTGAAACCCCATCTTTAGTCAGCATCTCTCCCAGCCTCTACCCTGGTGCATGTGCTTTCTTCATCCCTCTAGCAATTCAATTTCCTGCCACTTCTGAGACCTGCCTTTTTCTTGCTAGCTTCAGCTATTAGTCAGAAGTACCTGATCCTCCCTCTAAATCGTGTGCTATGGGAACACTCCATTTCAAGCAAACTGCTTACTCTACAGACCTTTCCAAGTGGAATGGGTTTAACCACCCTATCAGCTTTATTGTGCTCTCCTGGTTTTTCTGAAGAGCCACCCAGTCATCAAGTTAGACATCGCTGAATAACACTGCTGGTTCATCCTCGTATCATCTCTTCAAAAACATTCTATGAGAAAAATGGACTCCTTAGTTTTAAGATTTTAGGAGTTTGAAAATAGCAATGACAGGCATTTAACTCTTATTTCATAATGAGGATATCTTTGAAGAAGAAAATATATACAGCTTATCTATGAATTTTTTTTTTATTCATTTTGCTTTCATTGCCCAAAAACTGTAATTCATCCCCAAGGTCCCACAGAGTATTGTTATTCCTGGTATGAGATGCCATTTTAAGTTTAGTATGAGAGGTGACTATAATGACTAACATTTATTGTGCATTTGCTGTGTGCTCAGCACTGACAGCAAGGAGATCCATCCAGTCCATCCTAAAGGAAATCAGTCCTGAATATTCATTGGAAGGACTGATGCTGAAGCTGAAGCCCCAATACTTTGGCCACCAGATGTGAAGAGCCAACTCATTGGAAAAGACCCTGATGCTGGGCAAGATCGAGGACAGGAGGAGAAAGGGATGACAGAGAATGAGATGGTTGGGTGGCATAATCTACTCAATGGACAGGAGGTTGAGCAAACTCTAGGAGATAGTGAAGGACAGGGAAGCCTGGCATGCTGCAGTCCATGGGGTCGCAAAGAATCAGACATGACTTAGTGATTGAACAACAACAGCAGCACTGGACTAAAAGTTTGACATGAATTATTCTGATTCCTTTCTGCAACTCACACAGTACATTCTGTTGATAACATTTTGATCATTGATGACAGGCATGAGTGAACCAATTCAACAGCACTGACCTGTCATCAAGACCTGCTTCCAAGTCAGTCATCTGACATCAGGTGCTCTCCCGAGGTTTCCTGTCTGACGTGAGCATCGCTTACCTGCACAGGGGCTGGCCGCAAAGCCCACTCTCTTCCGAGCTCTATCAAAGACCACGTAGAAGCCCTCCATGACCGTAGCACCAATCACCAGTGCGTTGGTGGATGGCGAGATGCCGAACCGGTAACATTCATAATTCAGGCCAGCCCCCATCATGGGCTGAATGTAAAGCTGTTGAAGAGCAAAGAGCAAAAGAGAAAAAGCACAGATCAGGCAACATCACAGAACTGTTGAGGTCGCTGTGTGCTCAGACCCTCCAAAGTGCCGTCGGAGCTGCAGAGAATGGAGAGGATGATACCAGCCCTGCCATCCGGGAGTTGGGACCATGTGCCTGGTGAGGAACCTGATGAAGTACAGAAGCATGCACACCACCTCTGGCTGCACACAGGTACACCCATCCAGGAGGTGTCCATCTGTCCATCCATCCACCCACCACCTATCTGCTCAGCACTTACTGAACACTTCATAAGGCCTGGACACTGTCCTTGGTACCAGCAATACAAAGATGAATAATCATGTTCTCTGCATGATCAAAACACGCATGATCAAAGTGACACACGAGGAAGATGAACGTCAGTGTACTTGCCATGTGCAGCGAAGACCAGAGTGAGGGGGTCTCAAGGCAGGAAGGTGTGCAAGGGCACAAATGGGTGGTCTGGAGTCATCACCCACTGGACATCAATCAGTTGCTGTGTCCAGGGGGCGGGTACAGCAGTTTTAAACCAGGCACTGACTGGTGTCTGTCTGTAAATCCTTCTTTAAGGCAAGGAATTGTCCTATTCTCAACTCTGTTCTTGGCTCCTAGGTATCTTGTATATGCTCTGCACACAGTAGGGCCTCAGTAAGTGTGTGTTAAATGGATGAGCTTGATCAGTGCAGTGAAATAGACAACTTCTCCTGAGGGTCAATGTAAATTAAGAAAAGGTAGTGGATGTATTTAGCTGCTACTAAAACACTTCCATTTCAGGCCCCATAAGCAGGTCCTCAAACACACACACACACACACACACACACACTCCTACCTTTGAATGAAAGAATTCCGTAATAAAAGCCCCCTAAATCACCAAATAAAATGCAACTATGACACTGACACAAACATGATGCAAACTGAATTTGTAACTTTCATTCTGACCTTTCTGTGTGTGTTCCCATTGATTTCCAGCAAAAACTCCAGACTGTAAATTTTGTAACATGTTGAGAAAGCTCCAGTGTTGCTAGGTCTCAGAGTAAAATGCCTGCCTTCAAAGTTAAATAGGACAAATAGACAATCTGGTGGTATTTAGATGGAAACTATTTATGTTTTTAGGATCATATGAAAATAATCAGAATTTCCCTGTGGGGCAGGAGCCGCTTTATAAAATAAGCCAAATAGGATTTCCTGGTGGCTCAGGTAGTAAAGAATCTGCCTGCAATGGGGGAGACCCAGGTTGGATCCCTGGATTGGGAAGATCCCCTGAAGGAAATGGCCTCTCACTCCAGTATTCTTACCTGGAGAATCCAATGGGCAGAGAAGTCTGGCAGGCTACAGTCCATGGGGTCTCTAAGAGTTGGACATGACTGAATGACTGAGAACACACACACAGGTTTTGCCCGTGTGGTTTTGGAAAATAAGAGTTGGGCACAGGCACTCTGTTTTTTGACGTGATTCTTCTGCCCTTAGAACTGATCATCCATCTACTGCTGCTGATGCCTAGATGGTCGTGGGTAGGGACCTCATTCTAAAACTTGGGTGACCAGGAGCCTTGATGATTGCTCTGAATGTCAGGAAGGGCTTCGATCAGGCAGGGCTGGGAGGGGGGCCCCCAGCGCTGTCCCCAAGGGTGTGTTACCAGAACATGGGGCTCATGAGGGTCTCATCAGGTGATGGTTCATGACAGTCATCCTTTCCCATCAAGGCAATGGAAAGCAACTGGGATGAAGGAGGAATCAGGACAACAGGGGAAAGCAGATTTTAAAAGACTGAAAATGTGGACATGTCAAAGTCAACCAAGAGACATCTACAGTCTCATAAGTGAGAATAAAACTGAATTCTTATGCAGAGATGTGCAAATTAAATGCAATACTCCCAGACCTCCTTCATTATCTTTTCACGCTCACCCAGCACTTGGTCCTGAAAGCGGTTGATGGGCCCCAGTGGATCTTCAGCTCAGATGGCTATTGCCTGCCCTGGATGCAATGACAGACTTCACCCTGCAAGCCTGCTTTCCTCCTGCTTCTTAGAGTCCCTGACTGTCGACTCACCCACGTGCCATTTATTCTCCAGCTCACATTTACCTCTGTCCTCAAGCTGGGTTTCAAGTTTAGTGACAAACCACACTGGCGAAATAATGTCCACATTTTGCTGGTGGCCTGACCAAAATTTAATCACAAAGAGCACATAATTTTAAAGGTGCTGAAAACATATCATTCTCACATCACCCTACGCAGTGCTGTTCATCCAGGGATATTGCAGTCTTCTGAAAATGTCTTTGGCAAGTATTATTATTTCTCTTTTTATACTGAAAGAGACACACACAGAAATGGAGAAGTGACCATTCAGAGTTACAGTGTGAGTCAAGGGCAGTGCTGTGAGTGTAACTCAAGCCTCTGGCTCTGGGTTTGTATCCTCTGTTGAGCTGTTATTTCTCTTAAAGCTTTCAATCCTAATCCTAACAGCTCTCCATTTTGGGAATGCACTTCTCCATATAAAGTTGAGAACAGGGAAAAGGCAATATTTATCATTTACTTTTTTCTTCTGAAATTATTCCTCCTTCCCTATCCCCCAGTCCCACTCATTTATCTCAAATTCACCAAAGTGCAACAAAGACACATTCATCTGTCCATTCAACAAACAGTTATTATGCACCACCCCCTCACCACAGAGCAGCATTAGAAAAGGAAAGATGACTTTTGAATCTCATGATTCTCATCTTCAAGGAATTAATAATTTAATGGGGGAAGAAATAAAAGTGTGTGTGCAATTAAAGAAAAAAGAAGTCAAATGAAGAAAGCAACAGCATAAGCTCAACCCTGAAGATATGATTCTGGGCCAAATGAGTGGACTAGAAAACATGCATTATAAGTTTGCAAGGCAAGCTCACAAGTGGACCATTCTGCTCGGCAGAGGTTCAACAAAGAAGAGTTGTTTGTGTTGGGTCTTAAAGGATGGGAAGAATGTGGATACACAGATGGAGTGGGGAGGAGGGGGCATTTCAGGCAGTCAGTGGGGGAAGCAAAGCGAGGAGATGGAGCAGGCACCCAGTACTGGAGGAGAGCCACCAAGAGGGGAAGGAAGGTCAAGGGTGCAGCAGGAAACGGGCTAGAGAACCAGGGTGGGTCCTGTGAGGTCAAGGAAAGCCAGAGTGGCGAGTCTCCAGGATCGCAGTAGTGGGGTGGAGAGCTGCAGCTTAGCAAGAGGAATCTGGCAATGGTTTTGGAAGGAAGAGAGGGTGGGAGTGTGTGGAAGGCACTCTGGTGGGTCCTGAGGTGAGAGTGACAGGGGATATGAGTGAGGGCTCTGGGGATGGAGAGAGCAGGGACAGGTGAGACCGGGGAGGACTGATGCTTAGGATGAAGGAGGAGTCAATGATTTATTGAATATGGAAAAGTGCATAGCTTCATCTCTGAGCATCCAGTGTTACTTTCTGTTTATAAATAAATTGGAACTAAACATATATTAGTGTTATTGGTACTTATTGCAAAAATGTCCTCAATTCTTGACCTTTCCTGGTAGGCACACCCTTGTGATGTGGCCTTGCATGTCTTCCCATTGGGAATTGGCATCTACATCCTCACCTTGGTAATCTGGGCTGCCCTTGGCCTGGTTTGGGACACATGGTACAAGAGGAGTCCAGTTCTGGGCCTGGACTTCAGGAGCCCCCGTGTGTTTGCTTTCTGTCTCACAGAATCCTGCTGCCACCCTGTGAGCCAGGATGGTGAGAGACAATGGTCTTATCTCTCCACCAACCAAGGCACCAGATATGCAAGTGAGGCCAGCTGAGACCATCCTAAACCGAGGCCAACCTATCCTTGGCCAAACACCAGCTGTCCGGGGATATGTGAGCAAGCCTGCAGAGACCAGCAGACCTGCCTAGACTCACAAGCAGGAATAAAGGCTCACTGATGAAAGCTGCTGTGTTTTATGGTTGCTTGTTACATAGCATTATCACAGCAATCATTACCTAATACAGGTGTGATACTGAAATGCATGTATTATGCATGAAGTGCTTTACTTTTGCATGTTTCATGTTAAAAAGACAAAAGCACAAATCTACGTTCATACCTGAGGCAGGATAGTTATACGGAATGATCTGCTGGAGTTCTCGTCTCTCAGGTAGATGGAGATTTTCGGGAAATATGACCAAGGTGTTTCAGAATTCGTCCAGCATGCCAGCTGGGAACCAGTCCAGAAACCTTCAGAGAATTCTGGAATCTAGACAAAACAAGATCACACAACAAACAGTGACAAGTTTGGCACGTCAACAGGAAGTAGCTCCTAGCTCTCCTCTTCACCTCGCCAGATGTCCACGGCGATAAACTCTGTTTAATTTGGACAGCAAAGCGGAGACATCAGTTCTCTGGAAGAGTGATGGTGATGACAAAAATCAAAATGATTAAAATTACCCAGGCATGTGGATTACTTACTGATATTAGACCTGCTACAGGCACTTTAGTCCTCAACACCCATATCAGTCAGTAACAGCTTCCCCTCCACTTTACAGAAGAGGAAACCAATGCTCAGAGAGGAGAAATGACTCACCCAGGGTTACACTGTGGTAGGCAGTACCCTTCAGAGGAGAGATCAGATTTTAAACGTGCTCAAAGCCCTTTTGGTCATCACCTTCCCTATACAATCCCTGAGCCCAGTAAGTTTCCTCCTGGTACACAGCCCTATGGGGACCCTCTGCTCTTCTGGAACATCTTTCTTCTCCTCCAGATCTCAACTCCAATGCCACCTTGTCCAGGAAGCCCTCCTTGACTACCCCTGACAGCGCTGGTATCCCACCATGTATCTCTCCTCCTTGGCCTTTCTCTTTATAGCAGTTATAATTTTACATTTATTGGTGTGATTGGTTAACTTCTGTTTCTTGCAGGAGAACCTGATTCCTCTAAGGTTACAGGCTTGCTGTCTGCTCTCCCATCTCCTCTCCATAGTCCTAAAACCTGACCCATAGGAAAGACATAAGGAATGTTCTTGGAGGAAAAAATTGAATGACCAAGAACACAGAATGTTCACCGATGCCTCTCATCAGGGGACGGAAGGGTAAAGCCGATCATGCTTGTCCACTAGTTGCTGAATCTGTAAGTTAATTACAAATCACTCCTGAGTCCTCTCACCAGATCCAGTGGTCTCTAAGAGCAGACCTGCTCTGTTCCTGCCAGCTCCCAGAGGGAAGGATTTTGTCAGATGGGTTTCTTTCACACACCCAGCACATTGCCCTGCTCAGGTCAGTAGTAGAGGTGTCTGTGATGGGGCAGAGCTAAGAGGACACCTGATGGGGGGGATCTAGGAGGGCATGGGACAGGGCTGGAGCTAGGAGGGCATGGGCCAGGAGATGTGATGGGGATGTGAGGTGGAGCTTGAAAAGGTTGATTGGAAGGAAGGGGTGTCTGTCGAGGTCCCAGAGGAAGAAGTACATGAGCTAAGTTGAGCAGTAGGTGAGTGTCAGGGCGGGCAGAGCACGGAACCTGTCCCACTGGACACCATGAGGCCATGGAGGCTGGTACTAAGGACAGGAAGGGGCAGCTGGGAGGGACCCACGGGCACCATCAGGAGTTTATCAGAGATCAGTTATCAGGATCACATGAGATGTGATGAAGGCATTCTAGCAGGATTTGTGTAGGTCACTTCTTGTTTGACTCTAATCTCCACGGAGTCAGCCTGGGCTAGACAGAAGCATTTGAAAGTCAGTGACCAACGGGTGGGAAGTGATGGTGTGGCTGTGGGTGGGATCACTTAGGAGAGGGTCCAGGGAGAAGGGAGGGGGTGTAGGACCCACCCTGAGAAACGGGCCAGCAAAGGAGACCCCCATGAAGCAGGGCACAGGGTGGGGAGGAAGTTCCAAGAGGAGGCTGTTGTGGAAGCCGAGAGAAGAGATCAGGCAGGTAAGCGTGGTTGCTATGGATGTCAAGGAGGACAGCAGCTGAGAAAAACACGGTGTCCCCGGATGAACACACGGTGAGAGCTGCCTATTCAGGACCACGCAGGGCAGCAGCCGCCTCTCTCAGGGCAGACAACCGGGAGGAAGGGCCTGCGGTCTCTTCACCCACTGCAGGGCTGATGTGCAAAGTCTCCAATGCCTTCATGTACTGGGTTGGCCAAAAAGTCCCAATTTTTTGGCCAACCCAATATTTGTGCATTTTATGAAAGTGAAGTCGCTTTGAAATACGTATCACAGGGAAGAACCCCCTGCTGGATGAGTTGAGACGGGGAGGGGTGGTCACCTTGCTGGGTTTCAGGAAGAGGGAAGGGTGGTGGGGCCTGCAGGGAGGGCACAGAGCTCCAATCTCCAGATGAAGAATGAGGCTCAGAGGGGCCAAGTAATCTGCCTAAGGGGCACAGTGCAGTAGTGGGTAGGGGAGTGTCTGCCTCCAAAGTGGTGCGGGTGAGTCTGGAAGGCTTCTCTGGGGCCAAGCCTTGTGTCCTGGGGGAGAGTCTGGACACTCAGGTCAGAGAGTTAGAAGCCAGAAGTCAGTTTGCAGAAGGTAGCATCCTGCTGCTGGCTTCTGCAGATGGAGAAGCACTGGGCCTGAGCCAACAAGGGCATCACAGCTGAACAGGCGGGGAGCCTAGGTCCCCATCGAACCCAAAACTCCCTACGAGGCTCATTTAGAAAACACAGACTAACATATAGCACAGAGAACTGTATTCAATATCTTGTAATAACCTATATTGTTGTTCAGTCACTAAGTCACATTTTATTTTTCCAGACCCCATGGATTGCAGCACGCCAGGCTTCCCTGTCCATTATCTCCCGGAGTTTGCTCAAACTTATGTCCATTGAGTCTGTGATGCCATCGAACCATCTCATCCTCTGTCGTCCCCTTCTCCTCCTGCCCTCAATCTTCTCCAGCATCAGGGTCTTTTCTAGTGAGTCAGTTCTTCCCATAAAGTGGCCAAAGTATTGGAGCTTTAGCTTCAGCATCAGTCCTTCCAATGAATATTCAGAGTTGATTTCCTTTAGGATTGACTGGTTTGGTCTCCTTGTTGTCCAAGGGACTCTAGAATCTGAAAAAGAACCCATCTCTACATATCTATATCTATGTGTTTCTGAATTACTTTGTTGTACACTTGAAACAATACAACATTGCGAATTAACTATACTTTAGTAATTAAAAAGAACTACAGACCTGCAAACATTTCTAAAATCCCATCTAAACAATCCAGGCCCAGAGACAGAGCCTGGCATCTGTACGGTATTTACCTCTCTGAAGTCAGCCCTTTGCTTAACTAAGAAAGAAAACCCAAGTGAAGAGAGCCAGCTACGATGAACCCCGCAGACAGAAAGCTCAGGCACATCTCCCGTCTGTGCACATGAGACAGAGAGCATCCCCCCTTGTTGAGCTTTCCCAGCTCAAGACAAACATCCCCCTGGGCCTCTCCTTCCTGATGCAGGCACTGAAATCAGAGGATAATTTTAGATTAGACAAACAAATTTCGTAATCTCGTTCCTTCCACCTCGCACTTTTCTTACAAAGTCAGGCACTGCTGAACACATGCTGGGCTGACCTCAGGCATGCGAGCGCCCCTCCGCCACAGCCCCGCTGGTTCTGGCTGAAGTCACGAAATCTGCAGAGGCCCAGGCTGGTCACGGGCTTGCTGGAGTCACATGCTGTGTGCTGCCAGTGAGTCCTTGGGATGTGGGTAAAACCCTTACCGCTCAGAATATTAAATTTGAGGATGCGCATGTTAATTTCACTGAGGACATTTTTTACTCTGAAGAAAAGCAGCATATTGCTCTGTATTTCCAGCATGGTCTGGTTTTCAGCCAGTTTCCTAAATTTAAGTCACTAAAAACATTGCCTGCCACTTTTTTTTCTGATTCAGCAGATATTAGACAAGATAGAGGTTTGCTCTGGCCTTTCTGCCCACTGTACTCTTGACCTCCCGGTTCACAAAGGACCTCGGTGTTGTTTCTTCTGGTTTTACCTCTGGGTTCTTTTGATTTGCCTGCTGCATTTCCCACAGCACTTCTTTTGAAGTTTTGGTCCAGGACAACCAAAAGCCTGCTCTTTCTTCTCTGTTCCTGCTCCATCACCTGTGACAAAGTAACCACTGTGCCTCTTCCATCCATCAGTCTCTGGGTTTGGCCACAGCCCAGTGGCGTTGTGGGACTGTCAGCCCCACTGGAGTCAGAACCAGGAGAAAGACTTTTTTTGGTGGCTTTGTAAGAGTGGCCCTGCGTGGACAGACGCTTATGAAGACACCCAAGAAGCTGAGAGAAATATTTATCTTGCATCCAAACAAAAAGCAGTAGCACCATGGTTTAGACATTAAATAGAAGTACTTCTTGACCAAACACCCACTGTGTTACCCTAAACTCTCACAACAAGCCACGATAAGAACACAGAGGCTCTCAGGGGGCACAAAAGTACCCCCTGCCACACAAGGCACTCAGCTCATAAGTGGCAGAAACTAGATTAAATTCTAGTCCATCTGCCCCCAAAGCTGTGGTCCTTCCAATCCATGAAGGATGGTCCTTTGTGGTCCATCCTAGTGCTCAAACTAATTGAAAGTTGGGGTCACACCTGGATGACGTTAACCAGGCCCTCAAGGCGTGCTGTCCTTTACCAGGATTTTAACAGTATTTCAAAGCGTGGCCATAAAATAATTATTATATTGGTGGATTGACCTTTGTCTTCTGTGAATCATACTTTGTTACAGAAGTAGGAGTTAAAAATCCCAGCATAGCTTGGAAGGAGGCCAAAAAAGGAGCATAATTTTTGGTTTGTTGAAAAAGCTACAAACACATTCCTGGTTTACTATTTAATGTGTTACCAAGTGGTTTATTTTTCCTTAGTTTAAAAAAGTACCATAGCAACTACATAGTTATTTGAAATACTGAAAAGCATTGCATCTTTGGATCCAAGACATCTGAGATTAAAGTGAAGGAATTATTTGCTGGTTAATATCAAAGAATAAAGTGGGAATCCCCAGTAGTGCAGTGGTAAAGAATCTGCCTGCCATGCAGGAGATGCAGGTTTGATCCCTGGGTTGGGAAGATCCCCTGGAGAAGGAAATGGCAACCCACTCCAGTATTCTTGCCTGGGAAGTCCCATGGACAGAGAAGCCTGGTGGGCTACGGGTCGCAAGAGTTGGACATGACTTAGCGACTAAACAACACCACCATCCAAGGATAACATCATGAACTTAAGAAATAATAATTAAAACAACCCTCCAAACCCTTGGATGGGAATTGTTAGAATACATGGTGGTACTCCCTGGTATGTGGTCCTGACCTGGCGTGACCTCCCAGACTCATCAAACATCCTGGGGACTCACCAGAGACGTGCGGGCCACAGCCTCCACCACGGCGTCAAACACCTTCTGGGGCAGGCGCAGCAGCGTGGTGCCACTGTCCACGATGGCCTTGTCCGCATTGTACTAGAATAGGGGATGTGGGTGGGGAGAAGGCACGTGAGCAACAGGGCAGCCACGTCAATGCACAGTCCAGCCTGCCATCACCCTGCTTCTGTTACACACGCGTTCAGTAGTGTGGCTACAATTCATTTCATATTCTCAGAACTTGGGAACCAAGAACTTCTTCACCCAGTGTTCTCACTACAGATAAAGAAACTGAGGCCAGAAAAGGGCAGTGATATCACCAAAATCAACAGCTTAATTCAGGACTCTTCTCTTACTCAGCAGTGGCTGGATCTTGTAAGGACCACCACCCTCCCCGCCCACCCTCACCCCCACCCCCCGCCAAAGAGGGAAGACCCATTTGTCTTTAAAAGTTGAAATGAAACACTAAATTTTATTTATGTAAATCATGCAAAATCAACTCTCTATTACTCCATTAGCAGAGAAAGAGGAGGGAGGACAGTTTTTCAACAGACACTCCATATTTCATTTAGAATGGAACCAAAGCCCCATTCAATAAGAGAATCTTACAACACAGAGGCATTGCCAGCCCTGCCCCCACCTCTATCACTCTTTATGTGGCTGAGGGGGAAGGTGGAGGTCAGTGGGCCATGATCAAAGAAGTCACCCAGCCTCTAGGGACATAACTGGATGAGCAAGGCTGCCAGGGGATGGAGTGAGCCATGGGCAATTTAATCCTCCTGTTTCCACGGCAAATCCCTGAGTCATATGATCAAATACACCAATCAGATCAAAAGGAAGTAAGGATTTGTTTAGGTAGAAGGTGGGAGGAGTGAAGAATTTTGAGAAACTGAAATACAGCAACTGATTCATATTCTTTTCAAGCGTAAAACTAATTTCAATTTAGAAAAACTCTAAATACAGTTTTGTTTGTTCACAAAATTATCATGCCTGTGTGTGTAAGAAAAGCAAGCTTGTATACTGAAATGTTGGAGTAGGATGATCTTTTATTTTTTTCTCTGTTGTGGCAAAGGTGGCAGATTGGGAAGAGGGGCAGGAGAGAACGAAGCCTATGAGAATCAAACCTCCAAAGGTGCTTATACTTTCCAATACATACACACACACACACACACACACACACACACACACACACACACACACACGGAGTTTGTACTTTATTTTAGGCCAGCCCATCAGATTCTACCACTGGACTCTTCAGTAGCAAATAAATGTCTTTTGACAATAAACAGATTTGTAGACTTAGGACAGAAACACCATCCCAGGGGACTGGACCATTCCTTTATCAAGCTTTGATTGTTTCTGCAGAGGCATCTCTATATATACTCATGGTACAATGTGATGGTTAAAGTGAAAGGCAATGATGACAGGTATGAATACAATCAATGCTGATGAAATGCTGGTGGTTTTTAAAAACAATTCTGAAAATGTTGGAGATCATCACAATCATGTCATTATGTGCCACAAATAAGCCAAAATGCAATGAGAGGTGTGAACGAGGTTAATGAGAGATGTGGTTTCCCAGCTCTGCCTCCTCTTAGCACCATCAGCCACCCACATCTTTAGATCATAATGTTTCTTCGAGTGAGAACTGTGTACTGGGTCGGGGAGGGGAATAGGGGATTAGCTGTGGATGGAGGATAAAGCTGATGATGTATTTCTGGTTTCATTTTGCTTATTTTTAGTCCCCTTTTACTCTGATAAAAACCCTGCTTATTTTACTCTCTTGAACAGAATTCAGGGACCATCAAGCCAGGATGATGTGGTTCTATATAACTTTTTTCACTCATCACTTTATGCTAATTCCTCTTTTTCAAGAGGAGGAATTCAAGGGAAGCAATTAGAGGGAGGGTCATTGATATAAAATTATCTACAACAAGGCCCTGTAACTTTTATTGTCATGAGCTTTTGATTTATCTTGCAATGTAATGCACAGTCTGATTTCATATTCAGGTACTAGCTGAATTAAATATGCAAATTTAGTGGCCCAGGCACATGCAGACAAGGAGACACAAAGAGATAAGAGTGTAAATACCTCTCTGCAGTCCAGATTAAGGCTCTGGCCTCCAATTTCCAATTTTAGAATTTCTATCTGATAATACCACTCTTCCTTAATAGGGGTGTACCAGATGTCTCCTTTGTACAAAGTTGGTTCAATTCCACCTAGGACCTGGGAAGGAAAACATTTACATATTTAAGAGAAAAAAAATATATAGGCATACAACAAAGTTACACAAAGAAGCGTGCTTTTTTTGCTTTTTAAATTTATTTTTTAATTGGAGGAAAACTGTTTTGCCAATGTGGTGTTGGTTTCTGCTGTACAAAAAGGCAAACCAGCCATAATTATACATATATCACCTCCCTCCCCTCACCCTACCCCATCCCTGCAGGTCATCACAGAACGCCAGGCTGGCCCCCTGTGTTATAGAGCAACGTCCCACCAGCTATCCATCTTACACGAGATAGTGTATACATGTTGATGCTACTTTTTCCATTCATTCCACCCTCTCCTTCCCTGTGTCCGCAAATCCATGCTCTACATCTGTGCCTTCACTCCTTCCCCACAACTACGTTCATCACTACTATTTTTTAGATTCCATATATATATGTTAACATACAGTACTTGTTTTCTGATGAGAAGCATGCTCTTATAAGGCAAAACTTCACTGGAATCAGTACTGCCAATTTAACAGGATGTTATAAACAAATGCATAGGCCTGGAAATTAAACAAGGAACATTCTGGGGCCATGTGTTGGAAGATCAGAGACTTTGATGTCCCGCTCTAATCAGGATGCTTTGATAATTTCTCTTATGTAGAGGAAATGCATACAGTTCCAGCTTTCTGATACTGAGATCCTTCCCAACCTCATCCCAACCGTGGGCAAAGAAATGCAATAAAATGGTTAACCACACAGACTGACAAAATTTAGTTCTGCAGAAGATGAAGGATGACTTCCTGCCCCACATATTTGCATGGAACGAGGAACAAAAGAGCTTCTCTAATCAAAACTTCATTTTGGAAATCTGTAAAATATCACCCCTCTCCTCTGAAAAGGTGGTTAAAAAAAAAACAGGTAAAAAAAGTGTGAGGCTGTTTCTTGCAATCGGAGAGCAGAGGGGTCAGCATCACCGCCCTAGGGGCCTTTCATGTACATTCTCCCCATTGTCTCCTCCCGTAGATGTCTGGGTGCAGGCCCATCAGGGAGACACTTGGGATATGGCATGTTCCCAGGATTGACTCTGTTTCACTATGTGTGTGTGTGTATGTGTGTAGGTATGTGTACATCTGTGCATGTATTTGTATGTATGCATGTGCAAGTATGTATTATGTAAATCTCTGTGTAACTGTATATAGTGTGTGCATGCATGCATGTGTAATGTATACACAAGTATGTGTGTATATGTGCATATCCATGTGTATATACTTGTGTGTACATGTGTAAGTGTGCGCACGTGTGTAAGCATACATGTATATGATGTATGTGTGGTGTGTATGTGTGTACATGTGTGCACATCTGTGTGCATGTGTATATATGTGTGTATTGTGTGCATGCACATATGTGTAAGTATGTATCAGTTCAGTTCAGTTGCTCAGTCATATCCAACTCTTTGTGACCCCATGGATGGCAGCAAGCCAGGCTTCCTTGTCCATCACCAACTTCCAGAGCTTGCTGAAATGCATGTCCATCAAGTTGGTGATGCCATCCAACCATCTCATCCTCTGTCATCCCCTTCTCCTCCTGCCTTCAATCTTTCCCAGTATCAGGGTCTTTTCCAGTAAGTCAGTTCTTCACATCAGGTGGCCAAAGTATTGGAGTTTCAGCTTCAGCATCAGTCCTTCCAATGAATATTCAGGACTGATTTCCTTTAGGATGGACTAGCTGAATCTCCTTGCAGTCCAACGGACTCTCAAGAGTCTTCTCCAACACCACAGTTCAAAAGCATCAATTCTTCGGTGCTCAGCTTTCTTTATGGTCCAACTCTCACATCCATACATGACTACTAGAAAAACCATAGCTTTGAGTAGACAGACCTTTGTTGGCAAAGTGATGTCTCTGCTTTTTAATATGCTCTCTAGGTTGGTCATAGCATTTCTTCCAAACAGCAAGTGTCTTTTAATTTCATGGCTGAAGTCACCATTTGCAGTGATTTTGGAGCCCAAGAAAATAAAGTCTGACACTCTTTCCATTGTTTCCCCATCTATTTGCCATGAAGTGATGGAACTAGATGCCATGACCTTAGTTTTTTGAATGTTGAGTTTTAAGCCAGCTTTTTCACTCTCCTCTTTCACTTTCATCAAGAGGCTCTTCAGTTCCTTTTCGCTTTCTGCCATAAGGGTGGTGTCATCTACATATCTGAGGTTATTGATATTTCTCCCAGTAATCTTGATTCCACCTCGTGCTTCACCCAGTCTGGCATTTCACATGATGTATTCTGCATATATACTAAATAAGCAGTGTGACAATATACAGCCTTGAGGTACTCCTTTCCTGATTTGGAACCAGTCTGTTGTTCCATGTTCAGTTCTAACTGTTGCTTCTTGACCTGTATACATATTCTTAGGAGGCAGGTAAGGTGGTCTGGTATTCCTATCTCTTGAAGAATATTCCAGTTTGTTGTGATCCAAACAGTCAAAGGCTTTGGCGTAGTCAATAAAGCAGAAGTAGATGTTTTTCTGGCACTCTCTTGCTTTTTTGATGATCCAATGAATGTTGGCAATTTGATCTCTCGTTCCTCTGCCTTTTCTAAATCCAGCTTGAACATCTTGAAGTTCATGGTTCAGGTACTGTTGAAGCCTCACTTGGAGAATTTTGAGCATTGCTTTGCTAGTGTGTGAAATGAGTGCAATTGTGCAGTAGTCTGAGCATTCTGTCCTTTTTTGTGCCCATCTTTGCATGAAATGTTCCTTTGATATCTCTGATTTTCTTTAAGAGATCTCTAGTCTTTCCCATTCTATGTTTTCTTCTATTTCTTTGTATTGATCACTTAGGAAGACTTTTTTTATCTCTCTATGCTCCTCTTCGGAACTCAAGATGGGTATAGTGTATGTATAAGTTGTGTAACATGTGTGTATATGCATGTGTATGTACTCCTGTGCATAAGGTGCTCCTGTTTCTCCAACAAGTTTATGAAATCCCAGGCCCCACTCCCCAGAGCACAGCTGAACTACCACCCTGCCCCACAGGTCCTCATATGCCCCTCCCTCCAACACCCAACAAAATCAGTCACCTTTCAAAGGAACATTAAAAAAAAAAAAAGATTTAAAGGAATTTGGGGAAGCAATGAGAATCATTTTATTAGATAGCAGGATGCTTAGGAAAGATTAAAAATTACCTAATTTTATCCATTTTTAGGGCTATAAAACAAGGATTATCAAAACCTTTACAGCACCTATGTATCTCTATGTGTCTAATATTTCTATCAGAGTCTTAATAAGGCAGGAAAAACAGCCCCACTGGTTTGTGATTTTTTTTCCCCCCCTTTAAGACTAAAAGATACCCACAAGACTACCTCCGTTGGTACCAGATCCAGCTACTGGCAGTCCGGCCCCACACATCTGCATGGAGAATACGTTGGGGATTTTTGCTTGTGCCACGAGGGAATCAAAGAAGGTCTCCAGAGAACTTGAAGGCTGCAGGAGGGGCAGGGAAACAAGGCAGCTGATTAAGGACTCCAGGGTAGACAAGGGGTCACCCTGTGCAGGGGCCAGCATGGTGTACAACGTGGTATTTCTTTCTGTTTAACATTTTCAAGGTTAAGAAATAAACAAGCTCATGATTACGTCCACTCATTCGGAAGCCTTAACAGAACTCCTTGTGACTGGGTATTTTTCCTTTTGGGGCAGTGACTCTGTTGGGAAGATAAGATAGTATTTCCTGAAGCTGTGAAGTGGCTGCCCCATTTATCATCTGGCCACCTCGTGAGGCCAGCGTGAAAAGATGCAGAAATGGGTTGCCTAGGTAGGTGGTGGAGTCTAATCTTAGACATTTCGGAGTAAGGAAAGAACAGGGTCTCCAGGAGCTGCCTTTGCAGCTTCAGAAAAAGTTTTCTTTCCTGCTCCTTTCGGTCATAGTCGTCCACCATGCAAATGACGGGTGCCTGACCCAAGAGAACAGTTCACATCCCTGACCCCTGGGAGGAGGCTTAGCTCTGCCGGCTGTCTGCTGAACTCTGGTGACCAGAAAAGGAACAATGCTACTGTTGCAATCAGAAAAGGAATGATGCTCTTGTCCTGCAGTTTAAAAGCCCATTACTCCTCATTGCCATATGTCAGTAACATCCTCTGGGCCTCCTTACATGTAACCATGCCTTCAGAGAACAACCCCATTTCTCTAGAACTGAAAAGGAAGGATGGTCTGGGAACAGGTCTTAGCTGCGGGAGTCGGGGAGGGGGGTTATAGGTGCTGGTGGTGAGGAAAGAATGTCATAGATCCACGTTTCCATTTTGGCTTTGACAACTGGGAGAGATTAGAGTTTGTGACTATGAATGGTTTGTTCTTGATGAAATCTCAACAATTGTAGCAGCTTAGGTGCTGCAGGCATCTTCTGGCCATGCACAGTAAATATAGGGAAGGATTATTTATAATCTGTAGGAACTGAAACTCTGGAGGCAGTGAGAGCAGTGTGATCAGAGAGAAACCTTCCTATTTGTTTAGCTCCTTCCTATCTGGCCTCTTATCGCTTCTTTCCCAGCCTCTGCGGACTCTGGCAGAATTTGGCACAATCCCTCTGTGTAATTGTAGCCTAAACACTTTGTGTTTGGGTCAAGGAAGGAGACAAAGCCCCCTCTAGAAACCAGGTTGGGTCTGGTGATGACCCAGCCTGTGTCTGCCTTCGTGAGAAGCAGCCAGGTAAACTGCCTGGAATTGAATCCTGGGGCTCCACCCCTGACCTGCAAACTGTGTGACTTGTCTCTTTGTTTCCTTATCTGTAAAATGGGGATCATAGTCACATTCCAGAGCTCTTCTGGGGCTTAAGTGGGTCAGTACATACAGAGTGCTTGGAAAAGTGCCCAGTACATGGGACAGGATCTATTATTATTGCACCAAGTCATTCTTCGGCAGGACTTAGGATCCCTTTATGTATCCCTTTTAAACCTTTAAGGTTTAGAAGCACACAGTTGCCCAGACCAGTTGAGAACCTGATTCAGCAGGTTGAGACCCTGCAGGTGGCCATAACCACATCTTTGGTGGGGGAGCAAACAGCATCAGCTGGGGACCGGCCCACTCTGACACCCTCAGTGGGTGCTCACGGAGTCTATTTCAGAAATGCCTTTGGGCCGCCAACCCAGAATGCCCTGCCGGTCCTATTTCTAGCCATGTTCCACTTCCTGTAAATCCTGCTTTGGTCTCCCCTAACCTAGGATCATGAAGCCAATTGTTGGCCATCTTGGAATCTCATAGATGAAAAGATAAAAGGTCTTGTGGAGAGTCTAGACGTCCAAAAAAACCCGAAGCAGTCTATTCTCAAGGAGGTTTCATGTATTATTAATTCCAGATAATTTAGCTTTAAGCTAGCATCTCCCAAATAACCAGCATCAAATCAATCATACATCTTTTATTTTTGAAGTCACAAGAAGAAACACGTGGTCAATTGTCAGTGAAAAGTGTTTAGAAATGGAAGCTGTTACAAGTTTGGGAACTCACATTAAACTTTTCTTATGGTTGTTGTTGTTTAGTTGCTAAGTTATATCCAACACTTTGTGACCCCGTAGACTATAGCCTGCCAGGCTCCTCTGTCTGTGGGATTTCCAGGCAAGAATACTGGAGTGGGTTGCTTCTCTAGGGAATCTTCCAGCCCCAGGGATTGAACCCACATCTCTTGCATTTCAGGCAGATTCTTTACTGCTGAGCCACCTGGAATGCCCTATGGTTCTGAGCTCTAAAATCCATCTGGGCTCTTCAGACAGGGCTCTGTGCTCTGACAGTCCTCGGCAAGGGGTAAACCTCTCTGACCCTCTGTCCACACTTAACTAACGTGAGCCTATGAAGTCTGCCTTCTGGGGAAGACTCCATGGAAGGACATCTTGTAATGGTCTCAGTCCAGGGATCACGGGTTGTTCCTTCTCTTTAAGAAACTACAGTGTTGGGAAACGCCCCCTGCCCTCTATGCCCCCCTCCCTTCCCACCCCCCCCCCCACCACCTCATTGCCTGCATCACTTGCTAGTAAACTCAAGCTGGAGCAAACATCCTTCCAGAGAGAAAACGGGACTTTCTACACCCACGATTCTTTGTTTCACACTTAGCGCTGGCTCAAAGCCTGTCTGAACAAGGAGAAGCCAAGCCAGGGTGCCCGGTAACAGGCCAGGAGGGGCGACCTCTCCTCATGTGTACACTAACCTACCCTGGCCTTCGGAGCTCGGGGGCCACACCGGGGTGTCAGATCCGCGTGCCCCGCATCCTTTCCTTCCCAACCCACCCCTCTCCTCCCACATGTGATCATTGCTTCCTTGGGGTGGACCAAGGACAGAGAATTGTCCTGTCTTTCCCTGTTTTGTGATGGTCCTGATGCTGATGAGGGCAAGGTTTCACTGTCTCTCCTCGAAGCATCACTGCTTCCCCTGGCCGGCGATCCCCAGGGTGTGCCTGCAGGTATTTGGGCTCCAGTTCCAGAGTGAGGGGAAAGCAGTGTCTTGCTCTGTGCCTGGCGGGACACATCTTCCTGCGGAGTTTCCACAGTCACCCTGAGGCTCCTTCTTTATCAATATTATTTTTTAAAGAATTTTTTTGGCCATGCCATGCAGCATATGCGATCCTAGTTGCCTGACCAGGGATCGAACCTTCATCCCCTGCATCGGAAGTCCCCTTTATGAATTTAATAAATGTATTTTCTCTTAATCCTGCCCTAATAAAATCTCCTAAACAAGCACCATCATCAAAGGGATTCAGATTCTGTTAACATTTGTCAACTATACAAGTAAAATAAACAGAAAAAGACGAATGAAAAAAGTCATGCCATGGGAATATCTTACAGGAAGGCTCAAAGAATCTCATCATTTACCTTAAATTTTTTAAATGCTCAGAGGTCTAATCAGTCGTGTGAACACTGGTCTTTCAACCATGTGATACTCACTGACTGTCGTGGACAGCCTGGACCCCTCTGCTGGCCCCGTAGCATTTTGTTCCATCATTTGCTGTTCGCAGACCCACCCATCATTCTTACCTTGGCCAGCGTAGCATAAGCCAGTCCAAGTATTCCATTCCATCTAATCCCAGGCAGAAAGAAATTCTCTGACTCAAATATGGTGGCGATGTTGACAAGAAAAGAACTGTTGAAGCCTTTCGGGATGGTGACCACGTCCTCCCCAACGAAGCCGGTCCAACTCCCCTGTGTGTACTTCACAGTGACATCAAAACCCTTGGGGCGGTATGTGCTGGACCTGGAGAAAGAGAAGAGGCATGGTGTCCTGTGCTCCATCCACCTTCCGCTGTTCTGACCACACGGTGGTCACGGCCGCCAAGACAGCCGCTCTGAGCGAGGAAGGTGTGCATCGGCAATTCTTCCCGAGGAAGAGTCCTCATGCTCACAAGGCAGGATTTCCCATAACATAATCGCTGACATTTGGGCAATGACATTTTCTGTGCCACGTGTGAGGGAGTACTGGGGTCTACATGTAACCCGAGTTTAACTCCTTCCTGGACCCATGTATCCCTCGTAAGTCAGGAGTTGTCCTTAACTGGAACGCCACAACCAAGCGTGGGTCAGCCTGTCCCTCCAGCTCTGGGGGGATGCTGCACTGCTGGTCTGTGACAAGGGAGGGGCCAGCAGCCCCAGAAGGAGGGCCAGTAGCTTGTGCCCAAAGTGGCCGCAGGTTCAAATTCATACAAACAGCCAATGTGGTGAATAAAAGTCAAGCCACACCCCCCAACACCAGGGCCAGCCCTCCTCAGGGCCCCTGTGATCTCCTGGCATCACAGGTTCCTTCTCAAGGCCGTCCATCTGTCCCCAAGCTGATTATCCCCATATCAGAAGGGTGATGCTAATGACAAGCTGGGATACAAGTCACTGCGACAACCGCACACACCTAAGGGTAAGAGATCCTGAGATAGAATAACAAGAACAGGACCAGACAACAGACAGGGCAAATGGAAGTCTTGCTCTCGGGATTTCAGAGGCAGACAGTAAACAAATGAGCACCCAGAATTCCAAGTAATGATAGAGTGATGGGAGCTACCCAGGGAAGAGGGCAGGGTGAGGGGTGGGAGACAGACGTGGAGGTCACAGAGGCTGCTCTGAGAGATGACGTTCATGTAAGCCCTGCGTGAAGACAATAAGCTACGGGACTCTCTGCAGGGGGACGTCCTGGAGAGAGAGAGCAGCAGGTGTCAAGGCCTTGGGGTGTCCAGTCCTGTAAGGTCATTCTTACACTCAGCTGAGCTTGATAACTCTACTGCACTACAGGCCAAGGGACATCTCCAAGCAAATGTCTGTGTTCCAACCATGCTTCCCTTAGGAAAACAATCACATTCCTAAGAGAAGTGTCCAACCACCACTGGGATCATTGTAAAGGTACCTGTTTGTCTACAGTTTTCATTTTAACATTCAATCTCTGAACATTCATACACGTTAATAAGTCTTTGCTGTCGGGTTATATGACCTAGTATGGTATTGTTAGGAGACAGAGAGGAAGTTAAGTCACAGATGATATGAATTTTGGGGGGTACATGTTATAAACTTTAAAAATGTTCAGTTTAGTTCAGTTCAGTCACTCAGTCATGTCCAACTCTTTGCGACCCCATGAATCGCAGCACGCCAGGCCTCCCTGTCCATCACAAACTCTTGGAGTTTACTCAAACTCATGCCCATCAAGTCAGTGATGCCATCCAACCATCTCATCCTCTGTCGTCCCCTTCTCCTCCTGCCCCCAATCCCTCCCAGCATCAGGGTCTTTTCTAATGAGTCAACTCTTCGCATGAGGTAGCCAAAGTATTAAAAATGTTAGGTCTATTTAATTCAGTAACTGCACTTCTGAGAATCTGACCCTAAGGAAACACCCATGATGCAAACAAGAGATTCATTAACAAAGACAGTTATTATGTACTATTTATAGTAGCAAACAGCTGGAAACAACCTAAATCCCCAGTAAAAAAAGGAAACAGTTTAGTAAATTATGGTACAGAAATATGAATGGAAAACGATGTAGTACCGGAAAATGATGCTGACTAAGACATTTTCAATGACACAGAGAAAAATTAAGATAAAAGAAACCTTTGTATATGTGGCAGTATCTTCTTCAAAAAAAATTATTACACTCAGATACTAACAGGGCTACCTCTGAGTGGTGGGGTTTTGTGGGGGGAACTCTCACTCTTGTGGTTAGGTCCTTCCATATTTTCTGCATATATAACTTTTATAATCGGGGGGAAAAGATATTTTTAAAATGTCTGGCAGACACATTTTAGAGAAATTTAATTTATTCCTACTCCATAACGGGATATGAAATACAAAGAATGTCTAATTTTAATGTTTTCTGACTATTTTAGCTAACTCCACCACAATCTTAAAGAGAGAGCCGCACTGTGAACATTTTCTGTACACACGTCTTCTGACAACAGCAAGCATAGGCAGAAAAGTAAGCATGAATGGACCCCAGGCACATGGAGTGCGAAGGGACCCATCAGAAATTACTTACAGAAAGCACACAGTCAGGCCACTGAAAGGCAGGCACTTGAGGGCTGGTGTTTTGGTGCCAGGTCTGAGTATCAGCACCAATCCAGTGATGCCTGGCACACAGCAGGGGCTGCACACATTAGGTTGAAAAGCAATGAAAATACTGAAATGCCAGTCCTTTCTGACAATTTAGGGTCATTCTTCAAGTTCAAAACATGAGCACTATTGCTAACAGAAGAGGCTAGTTATTTTGAAAGACTTAGAGAATATGGTCCACCACAGGACTGGTGAGATTCTTCTCTAAAGGGCCAGAAAATAAATGTTTCAGCTTTTGTGGGTCACATGATCTCCATTTCACCTCCTCTGTTCTGCCAGTGAAGAAGCAACCACGGGTGACAGATTAAACAAACACATGTGGCCATGTTCCAACAAAACTTTACTTAGGAAAACAGGCGGCAGGCTGGAAGTAGCCTGCCAGCCCTAATTTACCAATTCTTCATCTAGAAGATCAGTTATCCCCACCAAACAGTCTATAGTGTCATGACTTTCTTTTGAGTAGTTGTTTTCTTTTTAATTTTTAGTCTGTTGTGCTTAGTCGCTCAGTTGTGTCTGACTCTTTGCAACCCCATGGACTGTAGCCCGCCAGGTTCCTCTGGCCATGGGGATTCTCCAGGCAAAGAACACTGGAGTGGGTTGCCATGCTCTCCTCTGGGGGATTTTCCCAACCCAGAGATTGAATCCAGGTCTCCTGTATTGCAGGCAGGTTCTTTACCATCTGAGCCACCAGGGAAGCCTGGTGAGCCTACAGAAAACTCATTAGAATCTGCTGAGGTCACTGAAAAGAGCATGAACCGGGCTGCCCTTCTAACCAGGCTGACCTTCTAGGCAGAACATCCTCTGCAGTGTACTGCCCAGTTTGCTATTTCCCTCACGGGTGAACATTCTGGATACACTGGTGCCACTTACAAAGATGTGGGAGGCAGCTGGAGTTACGCTGTCTGGGGTCAAATAGCACTTCAACCACTGAGGAGCTGTGTGTGACTCCAGGCTAAGTTATTTAACTTCTCTATACCTCAGTCTCCTCAAGTGAAAAGTAGGGACAATATAGCACCACACTTCACAGGGTTAATTCTAAGGATTAAAAGAGTTAATACTATAAACCATTTATTTTTTGAATGAATATATTATCATTATTTAAGGTATTTTATTTTCAAACTTAAATTTTTTTATTTTATATTGGAGTATAGTTGATTAACAATGTTTTAGTAGCTTCAGGTGAACAGCAAAGGGACTCAGCCATACATATACATGTCTCCATTCTCCCCCAAGGGCTTCCCTGGAGGCTCAGATGGTAAGGAATCTGCCTGCAATGCAGGAGACCTGGGTTTGACCCCTGGGTCAGGAAGATTCCCGGGAGAAGGGAATGGCAACCCACTCCAGTATTCTTGCCTGGAGAATTCCATAGAGAGAGGAGCCTGGTGGGCTTACGTCCATGGGGTCGCAAAGAGTTGGACACAACTAAGCAACTCACACACACACACACACATTTCTCTCCCAAAAGCCCGCTCCCATCCAAGCTGGCACATAACATTGAGCAGAGTTCCCTGTGCTAAACAGCAGGTCCTTGCTGGTTATCCATTTTGAATATAGCAGTGTGTACATGACCTTCCCAAACTCCCTAACTACCCCTTCCTCCCAGCAACAGTAAGTTCATTTGCTAAGTCTATGAGTCTCTTTGTAAACTATTTAGAACAAAACCCCAGAACACAGCAGGTACACAACAAAAATAGCTGCTATTATTATAATTATCTAGTCACTTGCTACCTTTATTCAATCTACGAGCTGCTATTAGAAAATGTAAGCTTTTTTCCTAGAAAATGTTCCTATATAATCTTTCTGAATATCCCAAACTGTTTCACTGTGAAGTCCAACAACCTCCAGGAAAAGGGGCAAGTCTCAGGTAAAACTTGGCTGAAATGGTGCAGGGAAGGAGAAGAGCCTTCCCGGTTTTTATTTTTATTTTTTTTTCCACTTATTTTTATTAGTTGGAGGCTAATTACTTTACATCATTGCAGTAGTTTTTGTCATACATTGAAATGAATTAGCCATGGATTTACATGTATTCCCCATCCCGGTCCCCCCTCCCACCTCCCTCTCCACCCGATCCCTCTGGGTCTTCCCAGTGCACCAGGCCCGAGCACTTGTCTTCCAGGTTTTTAAAAGATGGAGTTCTTCCGTGTTCTGGACCAAGGCTGTCCAATAGAGCTTCTGCAATGATAGGAATATTCTCTATCTATGCTTCCAATACAGTAGCCACAGGTGACTACAAAGCACCTGAAATGCGACTGTAGATCTTCCCCAATGGGGTTACATCCTGATATACCTATTGTAAGTTGAAATTATCATTAGGTTGAAAATGTATTTAATGGACGGAACCTTCTGAACATCTTAGCTCAGCCCAGCCTACCTTAATGGTGCTCAGAACACCTATATTAGCCTACAGTTGGGCAAACTCATCTATCACAAGGCCTAGCTTATGATAAAATGGTGAATATCTCCTTTAATTTACTGATTACTAAATTGAAAGTGAACAAAGCAGAATGTCTGTCTGGGTCCTCATGGGTCAATACATCAGCTGCTTACCCTCATGATCATAGGGCTGACAGGGAACAGCGGCTGCTGTTTCCCAACATCACTAGACAGGATTGTCCCCTTACTGCTAGCTTTGGGAGAAGCAGAATTCAAAATGCAAACACTTCTGACCAATGC